CTGCGCGTCGAGGACGTCAAAAAACTTTCAGTGTTTGACCATCGATGTCTTCGGAGCATTGCCCGAATCTGGCGGGAACACCGGATCAGCAATTCTGAAGTACGTCGAATGGTATTCGAGAGAAATAACTCACCCTCGATAGATGAACTGATCACACTGCACAAGTTGCGCTGGCTTGACTACGTGCTGCGTATGCCAGTCGACCGACTTCCCCGAAGGGCTCTTTTCGCCCAACCATGTGAAGGGTGGAAGTGAGCCAGAGGCGGTCAAACGATGACTTGGCAGCGAAGTATGAAAGCCGTTACCAGCAAACTCAGCTGCGCTGGTCACTGTCGTCTTCCTGGATGGGGACCCCGAGACGGGCCACGTCAATGGCTAGAGACATTATCAGATATGGCCCAGTCGCGCCCTCAATGGCGCTCGTGCATCGAAGCTATTGCCTTCAATGCATAGCTCCTTTTCCAACCCCCCTTCACTTGACAGCCCACTGACAGTGCTGGATTTATGCACCAATTTACCAGCTCGCGCGTGCAATGCGCAGCTACCTACCCCTCCCCCAAATCATCGGTGAACGAAACTGCGGCAGCTACAACCAGCGTACGACGAGTACGCGGTTCTTACGACTGACAATGATGATGATGATGATGACGTCGATATGGAATATGCGGACGACATCGTGACCGTCTTCAAGCAGGAAAGGGAGATGGTGTTTTAGATGAACTGACCAAAGTCATCTCTTCCTTTGGCATATACTTTGTACCCACAATGTGTTTGTGGTCATGCTCATGGACACTTAACATGCCACCTGAAAGAACAAATCGTTCGGCTGGGGAAAACTGTTGGTGCAAAGCTAACATTCAACTTGAAAGAAAAACAAGGGCCAAGGTACTGTCAGGTTGTCCGGCCCAGACATGAGCGATTTGAACACAACATTGGTTTCCAGTCACGTAACTTTCGACCAGTAGTTTTACTTAGCTATTTTGAGATCCAATGGGAGACTCGAGGTTGTGAAGTCTTTTACTTCTTGGAAACTGAATGTTCCGTCTGTAGTGCGGCGGATAACGTCAGTGCACGAATCTCTTCGGCTTGGATTGTTTTGTTAGTGTAAAACGTCTTTGGCGGTAAGGTGAGTTTGTCCCTGGTTTTTTTAAAGAGCGTGTGCACCAGGTTACAACGCGGGTTGTTCTTCTGCATGGCCTATACAAGCAGCGGAACCAGGACGTCTTCATGTCCTTGAAAACCCTTTTCTCCGAACCCTAGTTCCCGTAGCCTGGTGCTAGCAAACCCACAAAGAGAAATTTAGAAACCGAGTGTTCGGCTCTGCAACTTGGACTTCAGTCGGAGTATTTGTATTTCCCATTGTCAGCTGTAAAACCGTATGCATGTATAGTGGTTATACCTGCGACAGCTTCATTTTCTGATGCTCTCTACACACTCGAGGGAATAGGTGCTATATTTGATGCACATATCCTGGAGAGATAGTAGACTTCATCGGAAGCACGCGACTCGATCATGAATGTCATTGTCTCGAATAATTCATGTGTTCTGTCTCGGGTTCTCCATCCCGGGGGGGATGGCAACCACCAGTGATGGCTCCCATGATTCGTTGTGGCTGCTTGAGCGCTCCTGACTCATCTTCACATTCCGCGTTTCTAAGACAAGGTCGCCCGGAGAAATGCGGTCCACTAACATAGGAGGCACGTGACTAAGCGGACACAACCTGTGGAGTGTGACCAGTTCATCTAAAAAAATCCCTCAGATGCAACACCTTTTCGGTGCCCAGCTGCCATTTCATTCGAAAGAAGCACGAGGGCTGGGATACTGCCAGGTCGCCCAAGCCTACACAGGAGAAGTCGAGATGCAGAGGTCGGGTTTAAACCACGGACTTTTCGGTCAGTAAATTCGCGCTCTGTCCACTAAGCCATCTCACCCCGGATTCATGTACCCCCGATCTTAAGCTATCGCCTTATTACGGTGGCCTGTCTTCAGTGCTGCAATGATCCTGCGGGCTACACTGGCTGGAGTTCAGTTTCTTATGCTTCGATCATGACGAGAGGGCCAACGAAGATCAGTTCGATAAAGCACAGCAGGAAATCGCATTACGAGGCGGTCTGGGGATGGTCCTCTGCGATAGAATTATGCAGGTCGTGAGGTGTTTCCTTCAGGCTGCTAGTATGCCCATGCATATCAAACCAGCGATGCCTTTGAGGGAGGACGGGTTAGAAAAGTTCCGCTCTGAAAACCACACGCTCCGATCGCCTGGTAGTTGACCGTGGTCGTCTTCGCAATAGTCAACATGACCGAAAAGTCTGGTACTGCTGACCCCGTTGCAACAGGGTCTTAAGACTGTTCACCAGAGTCTAACCATCTTCCTTGTGGAAGACTATTGAAGGCTTCACTTGATTCCTCAAGTGTATGTCTAGTCATTCGCTCTCAAAAATTATTTTTCAGCTTTCTGGTGTTCGTCGAGGTTTATCTTGATGACTACTGCTATAGCAACAAGATGCTTTTCCAGCAGATACTTCAGACCAGCTTGTTACCTATTTACCAAGAGCCGTCTGTCATCGGATACGACCTCCAATTTTACAGCATCCGAGAGCCAGTGGACTCCTGGTCCAGACAAACCAAGCACCTGGTGGCCCCATGTTCCTTCTATCCCAGGGCGACGCATAGTTCGAATGTATCCGATTCGTCATCGTCACCGGCCGCGGATCGTACTGGTTCATGACGGTTGTACCAACCGACCGTTTTACACAATTCAAGTAAGTTGTCGTTTCGGTACGCAGCGCGCAATTTTTACCGCACTCAGTAACATGCTTTTTGCTTCGATTTCAACAGATAAAGTCAAATTTGTCGGGGACCAAGGACCAAGGTATAGAACAGGTTGGATCGTGGGACCCGTTTCCAAATAAAGATCACGGAGAGCATTTGATCGCTCTTAATCTGAAGCGCATTTCATACTGGATTGCTAAAGGGGCTGAACCGAGCACCAAAGTGGCAGAACTTCTTGGATTGGCCGGTTTTCTCCCAGTGCATCCACGTACTTACCTTGCTGCACATCGAGCGCGCGTGGCCACCCAAGCTTTCCTCGAAAGGCAGCGAAACGAAGCAAACATAGCAACAGAAGAGCTAACTGACCCTGATTCCGAAAAATCAGATGAGGACCATGAGAAGAGACCGGATGCAGTTTGGCGCCACGGAAAGAAACCTCCATGGTGGTGGTACAATGGATTATATTAGTTCCATTGTAATAGTTCCATCGCTTTATTGCAGACGCGTTTGTAAATATAGTTTTCCGCTAAATTCCTGGCTTATCTAATACTCTATTTCGACCCTCGAGTCGGCCTGATTTATACTGGTGGTGGAGCAGGTCGCCGTTTAATGGTTTCGTCGTTTTTATTCGCTAGACCACTATCGCATCCCACCGTTTGCTAGGATATAGTGTTGCGTGGTTTGATCGTGCTCTTCCACTTACTCTGTTTTAGCTGTGATGGCTACGTATTCCGAACATTCGGCCACCGAGAGGAGTGCTGCTTTTTGTGCCTCATCATGAATGACGCGAAATGCGAGTTGGATAAAGTGTGAGTTGGTAAAAAGGTATGAAAGGGAGGTGTTATTGGTGCGGTCCGCGTTTCGAGATGGGATTTCCTGACCCCCCACATGCGCTTAGTTAGAGCACTACAAATATCATCGTGGGCATCATAAAATGACTACTCAAGCACGAATGTTTCGCTGTCTTACAGCCGTAATTTACTTGAAAGCCTTGTAAAGAAAAGCGGATGGGGAGGGGACTTACTGCTAGTATCCCATTGTCGTTCCGAGGTGTCTACATTTGCAGACACTCGTTCAGGCGAGAAGGATGAAAACTGATAACAAGAGTACCGTTGACATCGATTAGTAGCCATATCTTGCAACGTCCCCGGCCACGCGTGAGGGAAATCATTCGGACCCCATCCTGGAAGGCGTATCGCATCGACAGTAGCCAGACTTTTCGTAATCGATTTCATTTCAGTCTGTCAGGTCAAAGGTTGACCACATCTCTTCTTGGGCCATTCTCAATTGGGGAAGATGGCTCAGTGGTTTGAGTACAAATTTACTGACCGGAAGGTCCGTGATCCGAGCCCGACCTCTACCTCTCTACTTCTTCTATGTAGGCTTTGGCAACTTGGTAGTATGCCCCAACCCTCGTGTTTCCTTCTGGTGGAATGGCAGTAGGCACCGAAAGGGTGCTACACCTGAATGATTTGTTCATTCTCAATTAGGCATGGTGAGCAGCACTGTTTTCGGCAAGCGATGGTTCGGCGTGCTCAAGTCATGATTTAGCAGCCACAGCTTTGGATACTAGGTAAAATCCTCGGTGTAATTCTCAGTTACACAACCGAACAGTCGCTTTCTGATCATCTCGTTAAGGATTCGCCAGCATTAGCCTATACGGGGACCGACTATCTGAAAATGTATCAGTTCTGTTGCCCACGGATAGCATGTCCCAAGGCCATAATAACAGCCCATACTGTAGCCTGACGAACGTGTCCCTTGGGATTCATGGTATGTCGCTTTGCCATCATAGAAACCAATGCAATAAGTGGTGGGTTATCGATGTCAGCGTCAACTGAATTCTCATTTTCTTTCCAAATGATCCAGTTGAAAGTTTGCACTGTAAGCCTCTAAAAAATGCTTCCGGTAGGTCAGCACCCGGCCCCTTCCTCCACTTTTGGGCATAACTAAACGGTAGTCAAGCATCAATGTTAACACTGGTGTTACTGTGTCTGATAATGCTGATAATGTTGTTTTTTGAACAATGTTCACCAATGAATTTTGCTTATCGATAGATCGCTGGCATGAAACGAAAAATGGATCACCGTTCGATACCGAGCAAAGAAGGGACTAGCGGCAGACTGAATTGCGATTCAATGTCGTGAACCGTAGAGCAATTCTCTGTTCAGTACGTTGGTCCGGTGGCACCTCTGGGTACGCGCCTCGGAAATGCTTAGCTATTCACACATAATTTCGTATACCGTTGGGGAGCTAAACTAGGAAAGCTATGACCACTATTCAATCTGTACCATTTTTAAAAGCGATGATGCTCCGGACGAACAAGTGGAACCTGAGAGAACGGCTGAGCGAGAGAGAAAACTGCACTCATGAATAATAAACCGGTCCTTCGTGAGGGTCGTGGAAATTTTTGGGAACAATTATGTGCATTTTCACAACTAATCGGATTTGCAACGTTCGATACTTTAACTGAACCAAGCCAAAGTCGTCTGGATTGTTAACACTAACAAGTCTTTTGTCATTTTCGCCATGAGTAGATTATCCGAAATCGCACCTAAGGGATTAAAAATTGTTTGCTTTTACTTACTTAGCCTTGACCGCAAAATGTTCCGTTCTATCTAAGGATGAGGACTCAGCTATACCTGGAAGAAAAATACTGTTGGAATGAGTCAACCCACGCGGAAGCGAAATTTATCAACGGTTTCTGATCCACTGGAAACGTCCCTCCGATAGTAGTCTATGCGTTAGGAGGTGCTTTGTCGTTTTAGACTAATCAACATAGGGCAGAAGCGTAAACTGTTTGCCATATCTGCACAACCACCTATGGACTGCAGTTCGGACTACATAAAAGCTACTTTTCGCTGGCATCTACACGGAGTCCTTGGGAAGGTACTTAAATGTGACATTGTCGTATTCGGTGATGAGCTGAATTCCAGAATAAATTGTTTGTTGACGAGCGAATCACATTTAGTTGGCCACTTTGAAATCAATATCAACTCTCCGGTAATCATAGATTATTGAGCTTCTGCTCCGACCCCAACTTGTTCCATTCCAGTGTAGTGCTCATCTGATAAAAACTCAACAAAGCCAAACGTATATTATCGAGTTTGTCGTATAGTCCTCCATCCCTCATAGGTTCCACACACAAAGTTACTCATATATTCTTGATAATAATATGAGTAATAAAGTAAGTGTGGATGTATGTGGTCAATGAGAAAACAGCAGGTTGTTTGGGAATCTATCGAAACTGAATTTCAACTGTGTCCGTTGGACAAACTATTTTCCCTTAAAACATTTTCAGATTGAGGTCAGCAGATCTTTTTGCTGCTAGAAAGGCCATACCAGCAACTAGCGACTATGATGGCCAAGCAGATCCCTCAAACGCCGGATAACCCGGAGCTTGATGAATGACAGAAAGCTGGTGGATCTTGAAGACCCAGGAGATGGAGAAGACTGGCTGCAGACAACAGCCGCGCCCTATTTCAACTCATTCGATCATCCGATCGAAGGAAGGCAAATGTCAGTGAAACAATATGCGAAAAAGACGGAGCGGTGATTCACTCCCTCAGTTGTCGCCTTGAGCGGAGGGCTGAACACTTCAAAGGAGAGTTCAGCTGGTCTCCTTCAACACAACTACTGGAAGAACTCAGCGGGTCCGATTGGAACATTGACGCCAAACCACCATCAGAAACCGAAATCCAGCGTGAGATATCAATCCTGAAGCGCGGTAAGGCACCTGACATGAATGGTCTGCGCCCTCACACTCTTCAAATAAGGTGGCGAGGTCCTGGTGAACAGTCTGACAATCATACTGCAGAAAATTCGAAGCGAAAACAGAATACCAGCCAAATGGAGCTCCTCGACCGTCATCCCAGTTTTCAAAAAGAAAGCAAGAACGTCATGTTAAACCATCGTAGCATCAGCGTGTTATCCGTCCCCCTTCTTGTTCAACTTCGTCATCGATCAAATAATGAAGCGAACACTGGATGGTTTTCAAAACCCCGGTGTCCATCTTTGAGACCAAGGGTGCGTTCGAATCTGTTGATCGATCGGTTTTCAAAACCCGGTGTTCAAATTGTTGCTGGCGAGAGCCTTGTCGATCTGGAGTACGCAGATGACATCGCTCTCATCTTTGAAGAGCATAGCGAAGCACAAACCCTGTTGAATAAACTGACCGCCATCATACCATTTTTTGGCATGCGCCTTGCACCTTCAAAGTGCAAAGTCCTGCTTCATAACGTGCCGTCTGCGAACATTTCCCTTAAAATTCAAGGAGAACCACTGGAGACTGCGGAAAACTTTACGTACCTCGGTAGTTGTATTAGCCCGTCACGAAGAGACTGGACCTTACCGTGGTGTGACGGTTTGCGCACCTCAACGATCCATTGAGCTATACTGGAGAGTGTCCCGCGACACTCACAGAGTCTCTCATACCAGGTTGGTCAATGGTTAGAGGTCTGACGAACACAGTCTCCTGGCCCTCCAGGTTGGGGTTTGGAACATGTGGCCACTTGTTCCTTAGAAATGGTAATGCATTTGCATTTCTCGCCAAACACCGCTGCCTTGCGGTTAGGCTTTTGAGTCAAAGGCTTTGGTTGAGGAACCTAATCGTCCTTCTGTCTAGGTGTGGGCGCCCTGGCGGTATCTCAGCCCACGTACAACCATGAATTGCACATACACAAATAAACTCATGCCACATCGGCCGTCGCGTGGTGCCATCAGCCGGGTCGCCTTACTTGCTGCATACAGCAGGGCGGGTAAGCAAAAACGTGCTACTGCTGACGCCTCCCTTCTTACACTTTCACGTTTTCCTTCTTTCACTCTCCCCCACCCAAATTCGAATACTTTCTCCACACGTCCCAGCTATAGGACTGACCGCGTTGCTCGCCCTGCATCACACTCAGCTGCAGCCTCTGCACGTCTGAGTTCAGTTACAACCTTAAACACTTCGAAGTCTGTTTTC